TACAGCATTCCTTTAAATGTAACCATTGCACCAATTACTCTTACACCATCACTCCCTATTAGAAGTGGGCATGAACTGCTGGTTCATTTATCGGCTGAACAGGTGTTTGTTGCATCTTTGGCCCTTGGTTGGCCATCCTTCCAGGAAGGGAGAAATCTTCCCTCTTTTTGCATAGGCATACAAACCTTTTGTCCATATCTAATGTCAGTGCAGGGGCTCCTCATGTGCATGCACACACACCTCCCCTGCAAAAACACATCCATGTATCCCCATTCCCAGAGAAAGGTGATTTGAACTTCTTAGATCAACAATTGGCAGGAAGTGTGGAAATGACCACCCCTGAGATAATTGGTCCTCTGCTGCTCTTACCAGTAGAAAAACAGGATCGGGCTTGGATTACACAGCAAAATAAATGTTTTTTTAAAAATTGCATTTACCTTTGAAAGTCAGATCTTTGTGGGGATGGTGTTAGGAGTTACTGAAGGTTTTTGCTTCTCCTGTCTCTCAGTGACGTCCACCATAACTGCTGTTTTCCTGCCATTAACAGCAAAGAAACTGTGTCCCCCCCCACCCACTTTGCTGCCCAGTCTACCTGTTCATTTAGGTTGTGCAAAAAAAAATATATTGAAACAGGTAGGGTTCTGTTGATGTGGAGGGCATTTGCAAGGAGCATCCGGGAATCATACGCAGCAGAAAGAGACACTGACTGAGGCTGGGAGAAAGCACAGCCATCCAGCATTGTACATCTCTGACCCACTTAACTCAAGCTCTCTGCTTGATAAGAGAGGTTTTACCAGGGCTGCCTCCTCCCTGGCCTCCAGGATTTCTACCGCCTTCATTGTATGCCCCTTTCGAATGCAACTACTGGCCACCTGGGTAGCAAAGGCCAACCGGGGTGTTCCCACCAGCTGGATAATGTAAGCAAATGCGCAATAACATCAAGGAGCTGCAGAGACAGGATACTCAAGGAGGAATTGATTATTCACACCCTTTCATGTTTAGCTGGGGTGTGGAACTCAGAAGGTATGCAATTGTGCCAAGTTCTGAGGCCTGCTTGCATCTGACATGCGCTCAGATTAACAGGGAATCCCCGTTGTTCTCCAAGATTTACTTGCAAATCATAGAATGGTTTAGTCGGAAGGGGGCCCATAAGGTGAACAAGTCCAACCCCCCCTGCTCAACCCAAATCAAAGCAGATCTGAGAGATGATTGTCCAATTTCTCTTGAATGCCTTCAGCATTGGAGCGCTCACCACCTCCTGAGGTAATGAGTCCCATTGTCGTACTGCTCTACAATTGTGAAGTTTGTCCTGATATTTAGCCTAAATCTGTCTTTCTGTAGCTGTTGAGCCCTTTGTTACGTGGCCTGCACTTCAGTCTTTCCTCATAGGGCTTGGTTTCCAATCCTAATCATAAATTAGCATAAAGTCATAAATGCTTTTTTTTTAAAAAAATCACCTTTGTTTAAGAAATGATTTTGACTTGATTTCTCACCCTGTAAATTAATCCAAATAGGATGCCCAATCTATTCCTACATGTGTTTACTCAAATGTGGTTGGGATCCTATTGTTCAGCATATTGAGTCACCAATGGGGCAGGGCCAGTGAATCAATGGAACCTATGAAAGAGATGACTCACCAAATCCCCATTGACTGAGTAGGCCTACTTTAGTTGTGATTTACTACATTGAGCAATAAGATTTCAGTCAGTAATTTCTAGTAAATTAAATTAGTCCTGCTGCTTAATAAATATGCACAGCTTTACAGCTTTCAATAAAATGTCCTAAAGAAGTGGAAGGTGGGGGTGGGGGGGGGAGAGAGGTCTTCCTCTCTCACCAAATTTAATCACTTATTCTAAGGAATGAATGACAAATTAAAGTGTAAATCTCATTATATCTGTCTAATCCCACACTTTGTTATCCATTAAGGTTGAGGAAGTAGGATTGACATAAATTACTGAAGGCAAAAAGATTACAGAGACTCCATTTTTATAATTTAAAAACATTCAGAATAAGATTTTTTAGTATCAGCTGATCTCTCTCATTTTCATATCCTAGACGTAATGCCTCAAAGTGACTTTACTTACGGCCTTTAAAATGACATATCTTATTTTTAAAGTGTTTTAAAGAAATAAAACATACTGCATTCATTCATTCATTCATTCATTCATTCATTTATTTATTTACATGCATGCATGCGCGGGCGCGCGTGGGCGCACACACACACCACACACACCACACACACAGTACATATATGTGTGCATACGTACATACAGTACATACGTACGTACATGCGTGCATACGTGCATACACACCATCCCATTAGTGTGATTCAGTATTCTGGGTGGTTCACAACATGCAGAATAACAGACGGGTTACAAAACATGTGAAACTATAAAAAAATGTAAAACCAAGAGAACAGCAATAATACAAAGGTCCTTTTCTCTCTGAGAGCGAAAACAGGAGCAGCATCACGAAGGATTGTTATGGAAGGCCTTCCTGAAGAGCAGTGTTTTTAGCATGACAAAGCAAAGGTCTTTTCAAATTATTATTATTATTAACATTGTTGGTATTATTTTGTTTCTGGAATCTACCCTATGTTTTGTTTTGCTTTGCCTGTTGGTTTGGTATTGGAGGGAAGGCGGAGCAGAAATTCAAACAATCCATTGAAAATGGGTCCTGGAAATTTCAAAAAGAAGAGGAATATAGCAGAGATAGGAGGAAGTCATATTAATGTTTATCTCCCAGAAATTGTGTCAGGAAGCCTTTTTTCTTGACTCACAAACTGCTCCTGTCTGGAAGAATGCCACATCAGGGATATGGCAGTAAATTAAAGTGGCTGGTTCAGGACAGCTATCCACGATGGGCACTGCCAGGGTGTTGGGACCCTCGTAGAGAGAAGGGCTCTCTCTGTCCCCCCCCCTCTCTCACACACACACACTGACTGTGGCACTGAGGTTAGTGCGTTGGACTGGGATTTGAGAAATCTGGATTCAAGTCCAGCATTAGTCATGATGTTCAGTGTCTGACCTTTGGCCAGTCACTCACTCTGAACCTGACTTTCCTCACAAGGTGATTTTCAAGATAAACTGTGGTGAAGAAGAGTTACTTCTGCTGCCTTGGACTTAGTGGAAAGAAAGGGATATAAATGGAGGTAATAAACAGGTACGTCCACATAGAAACAGCCCAGAAGAGCTTGCCCAAGAAAATTGCCTTTGAGAGCATGCATCGTAAAGTGCTGTGAATTCTCATCTCTGTTGTCCAGCATGGCATTGTAGACTTCTTCATCCAGTCTATGACAAAAAAAGGAGGAGGCATTTGAAATGTGGATTTCCCAGAAGCCATTAATTTAGCGGACTGAGATGGTGGCCAATGAAGAAGTGTTGATATTCATGAGCAAAGGCCAAGAAAATATGAAATTTATATAGTGGAAAACTTCAGGCACATAATGAGGAACATAGGTACTGTTACAACTGAAATAAATTTTAAAAAGAGAGAGAAAGCTGTGCAAGGAGAACAATGTCTGGGCGGAAGAACCTGGAAGACTAGTCTGGACGCCACATAAGAGCAATGTTGAGAGCTGTCACATCCAAATCATATAGAGCTGTGGTGACGGTGATCCTCCCATGGGGGCGAAGGGATGAGGAGGAAGCTACTCCAGGATCCCAAACGAAGTCAAATTACTGGGGCACCTAGTTTGGCGCGGTCTCTTCCCCCTCATGGGCACCTGTTTTTATTCATTGTAGTACCGGTATTTGCCTATAACTGGAAATAACAGATATGACCTGGGCGCTTTCTGCCTCCAAATACTGTACATCCATGGAGCTACAGACAGACCAGCATTTCACAAGAACTGTAAGTTTTACAGGCACCGATAGGGCAGAAATCTTGTTTTTTCTTCTTCCTGGGTTAAAAAAAAAAGAGGGAACTGGAATTGATTTAATGGAGCTGGTGACGGATGGAATAAACAGAGAAGGAGCTAATTAGAGTTTAATAAACACGCCCTTGAAGAAGGCCGACAGACCAAAACACATGGGGCATTTTTACACAGAAATAACGAACATTATATTCTCTGCCTCCCGGGAATACAGTTCCCTCATCTTTTTGACCTAAGATTTCAGTGGCTGTGCCAGTTCCTCTCGTTCTCTACTTCTTCCTGCAGTTTCCAAAACTGGCCGGTTTCCCTCAGAATATCCCCGTTGAGTCCAAGTTCAGCTCAAGATACTTTGCTTCCTGAGAGGCACCGACAAAACTACACACACGAACACACACTAAGGTGCGCAACACCTACCCGTGGCCAAGTTATACTGACAGGTGAAGCAGAAGCCTCCCCACCCATGTACCCTGGCGATAAGAAGATAACAGCAGCCAAATAAGAAAAGAGGATTTTGGTGCTCTTTTTCGGACACCCCAAATCTGCTGCCTGAGGCGGCCTGAGGGCTTTGTCTGGAGCCATACGGGAGGTCGGAAACCGCCCTTTTTTTGTGAGGCGAGGGGCCCCTCACAAAGTCCCCCTCATAAAGTAACTCTCTATTCCCCCTCCCCCCCAATTTAAGCGCTGCCTGCGACCTTTCAGCCCGACTTTCCCTCAGGGCGGGGTACCCAAGTTCGCCCGCCTCTGGGACCGCCAGGCCAGGAGGACTCGGGTCCTCGGCCGTGAACTTCTTGGCGGGAGGGGGGCTCTTTAAGCCAGCACCGCGCGCTCGTCTCTCTTCCAGGGCGCGAGGGCCCAGCCGGGGCGCGGGGAGGTCAGTCCTCGGCTCTCTGGCGCTCCGGCTCCCCTCAGG